CCTTTCTTTACTCCCCTTATTTGACTCTTTATAAGACGGACACCAATCTAAGACGGACAATTAGAGCCGGTCCCAAAGGTGTCCGTCTCAGAGAAAGTTGACTGTATATAGAATATTTTTAAACGGATAAAATAAACCAGTGAGCAGTACTTTCAAACTTCTTGAATGTTCTTGAGTTGAGTTGTTGTCTCCTACGCGTTTCGTGTGACTAACGCACACTTCATCAGGGAGAATATCTGTATAGTGATATACCTAAGTGAGGAAGAATTCGAGGACTAATTAGTTGGGTCTGTCACTTGTGCTCATGATTAAGAACACTGTTAAGATAGACTGTTCCTCGTTATAAAAGTTGTCGAATTAATACCTTAGTTAGTTTAGTTAGATATGACGTGAAAATGCTCTTCTCCTCTTGACCGATAAGATACAGAGATCAATCGATAGTGGCACCTATTCTTGTGGCATTTTTTTAGACTTATGTAAAGCGCATTTGATACTGTCGATCATAAAATTTTGTTAACCAAGTTGGAGTATTATGGTATACGAGGTGTTGTAAATGATTGGTTTGCATCATATCTAAGTAACAGAAGACAGTTTGTCTCTTTTTTTGGTACTGATTCTGATTACCAAACTGATTCATGTGGAGTACCACAGGGGTCAGTGCTTGGCTCACTTCTTTTTCTTTAATATATAAATGATCTGCCTAAATGCTCCAACATTTTGGATTTTCACCTTTTTGCAGATGATACAAACCTGTTTCTTGACAATACTAACATTCTAAATTTAGAAACCAACCTAAATGTAGAACTAGATAAGGTGAGCCAGAGGTTATTTGCTAACAAATTACCTCTGAACATTGAAAAAACTAGCTTTGTGGTATTCCATTCTCCGCAAAGACGAATAGCTCATAAGTTGAATCTTAATATCTCCAATATGTCTGTTAAATCTGATAACCAAGTTAAATACCTAGGACTCATTTTTGATTCTAATTTGAACTGGAAACCGTACTTGCACGAATTGAGCAAGAAGATTTCAAGAGGTATTGGGGTACTATCTAAAATTAGACATAATGTAAACGGAAACATATTACTTCAATTATATTATTCACTTATTTACCCCTTCCTCACCTACGGTTTATCAATTTGGGGCAATACTTATAGTTCTACTCTCAGACCTTTGAGAATTCTTCAAAAGAAAGCAACACGTATTATAACTTTTTCGGTACCAGGTGATCACTCTGAGCCTCTTTTTAAGAAATTAAACATTCTTAAGTTAACTGATCTTGTTACCCTTCATAATGCACTCCTCATGTATAACTATCACCATAATCTTCTTCCATCTTCCTTTGAAAATTTCTTTAAAACAGTAGCATCCATACCCTCATACAATACCAGGCTTGCTTCTAAATCAACCTATTACCTCAATACAAAAAAAAACTATGGTAAATTCAACTTTCGCTTTGCGGCTGTAAAAGTTTGGAATAACCTTGATGAAAGCATTAAACACCTCCCCCTTAAATCCTTTAAAAACAAAGTCATGTTAAACATCTTACGGTCTTACTGTTCGTGAGTCTTTAATTGGTATTTATATATATATATATATATTTTTTTCTCCTCTTTCTTTTTTTTTTCTTTTTGATTTTTTTCCTTTTATCTATTTACTAATTCCTTGTTTGTTCTAGCTTTAGTGCCAACCTACCTCCTATGCCTGAACATCATTTAGCTTTACTCAGCTCGATTAGCTTTTCAGTTATTCTGAGTAAATGTTACCTTTTTTTGTATTAATATATTTTTTTTTTCAAAATGATTGCCTCGGATTTTGTCCGGTGAGGCTGTGAACCGATTCTCAAAAAAGAACGCTGACGAAATCAACGAAATCAACTCTTAGTGTTTCTTTTTCAACGCCTTTAAAAATTCCCATTGATCCATTTTTCAATAATTTCGGACTGTGTGGCTCGGCTGCATCGAGTCGCACAGTTTAAAATTATTAAAGTCTTCAACCAAAGAACAACCTTGTAAAAGAATTAAATAGAAATGAAATAAGCATTTTCTTGAATAAAAGTACGTTTTTAGGCATTTCCCGGCCAAAATCATTTACAAGACCGAAAGCTCCGGGTGCTCGTGACGGCAGTAATCAAAGTCGAGGTTATTGCAGTGTAAATCCCGCCCATCTTTTGTTTTGAATTCTTGTTTTCTCTGATAATAAAAAAAATCACGGAGCGGACTAAAGTTTTATTCCCTGGTTCTAGTGTTTCCTCGAAAACCATACCTGATTCCAGACCAAAATTGGTCTATTCCCGTTTTCAGATCAAAACGGCGCAGAAACCATACCCCCTCCCCCTCCCCCCTAAACGCCGGGTTTTTGATCACAAAGTTGTCAAAATATACGTAATAGTCCCAAACAAATTACCATTATCAGCCGAATTTAGGTGCCAACCAAATAAGCAATTATTTTAGCATTGCCGGCGGGTAGAACAAGCCATTTTACAAACAGCTGTCTTTGTCCCTTCTGGAGTGAAGAGTGGGACACCGGCCGGAGACTGCAGGTTAGCCCGCTGTGGTTCCCCGCTGTTCAACTGGTAATCTCGTACCCAGATCTCTTGTACGTGCGGTCGAGTTACGCACGTCCGGTTCTCGACGTCGTTTGGATCGGAGAGGCAGAGTCATAGACGTTGGAAAGTGGTGAGTTAATTTGAAAATAATACTTTGTTACCTTTCGACTTTCAATATCTCTTGGCTTTTCAATCTGAGGACTTATACAAACAGTGTAAATAGGTAAATAGTGCAGTATTCCTCTCCTTCTCATCTTAATTTAAGCTGTGTCCTGCCCACCCATTCAATTCTTCTCTTTTTGTACTTTTGTTGTTATCTTTGATCTGTTTTTTTTGTGCCCTGAGTATCGGCTTAAAGTTCAATGAATTCCAGGGAGGTTACAAACGAGTAGCATACAAGTCCTCGACACACTCCAGTGATCCTTTAGTTACGTTAGCTAAATTATAAAGCGTTAGTCATGATCTGCTCTCAATGAATCTGCATTCATTTCGTGCATGCTCCTGGTGTAGATAAAATTTTCAAGGTCGCATTCTTGTTTTGACTGCTTTTGCACTGTCTCTAATAAGTCTTCAATAAATGATATGAGATGAGTTTTGAAACGATTTAAACCACCTAACATTTCCTGTAGCATAATATTAATACCAACTAGTAATAGTTGACACTACAGCTCCACCCGCTCTGTACATTGTCGGTCAATTATCGTCGTTGTGTAGCTCTTTGAAATATACCGATTCAAAATGAAGAGTTTCACACATATTCCATTCATATTCCATTCATATTCCATACAGTAGGTGAGATAAAAACAGGAAACGCAAGGTTCCATTAACTCATTCAGCTCGATTTACACAGCTTTGATCAAAACATTCCCAGTTTCGAGGACAGCTTATTCTAAACTATAAGAAAAGACTGAATTAGAAATTGGATTTTTGCCATTTTTCTTTCACTTTTTACATACAGTTCATTTATTTACCAGAAAGTAAGCCTTAGAAATTCAAAGGTTTGACCAATTCACGCTCGCGCGTTTTCAGACTAGTCTTTTTCAAAACTTTATAGAAGAACATTTGAGAGCAGGGAATAAGTCAGCACCGAATTTAATGGTTACCCAGCAGCTGCTCGGAAGTGAAGTTATGGTGCGTTTCCCTGACCCCAAACAATACTAAAACAATTGGAAGAATGACATGTCATTGTTTCCTGCAACCAATTAGGAGAGACCTTCCGAGCAAGTCCTACAATTGTCAACGAATTCCTCTCATCGTCCATCTTTCCATCGTTCTGCTGGTGATAAGTTAGCCGTTGATTTACTCGTCTTGCTTGTTTGTCGACTGAGTCTTGTTCCCCCACAGAGAGAGAGAGAGAGAGAGTGCCTGGCAAATTGTTTCCAATCAAAGATTTGTGAACTCGTGTCTGGCAAACTCTCCAAGTGTTTATTATACACAGTCATACGCACCTTATAACTAAATATGCGCTTAACGAGTAACGAGTGTCGAAAACGCATCAACATAAAAACGATGACCGAAAATATCGCAGGCACGTGTGTTTGTAGCAAGTGCACAGAGTTCAACTTACGTCACAAAGTCCAATTTCATCGTTTCTTGAACGTGTTAATGTGGACAGTCGAAGACGCATCAATAGGGACCCTACGAAAACAAGACGGTGACGGCAACGAGAGCGTCAAAAAAGCAATGGGTTTAATGAGCAAGACAACAAGGCTGCACGTGCATCACGCTTTTTTGTACATTTCGTTGCTGTCCCTGCACAACTACGACATGAAATAACCAAATTTTAAGTTTACTCAGGAGCCGGCTCCTGGTTTACTTGAGAACAGGAACGGCAAGGCGATAAATTCTACCGTCCCTGTCTAAACGACTTGGGCGCAGTCCCCTCTCTTCATCTCCAGCCTAAATTCCCTTCTTTTTAACTCACTGGAAGACTTGGGAAAATCGCGAAAAAAAGTGAAAGGATGCGAAGTCTATTTTTCAGGGACGTTTTCATGGACGCCGCCGCTGTCGGATCGTAAGGTCCCTAACGAAAACGCACACTTTTGACAACGTATTAGGGTAGACACAGCCTAAGTAGTTTTGCTGTGAATTACTTTTAAAACACAGCAAAAATGGATAAGTTAAAAAGAGCGCAGCATCGTCCTCAAGTTTGTTAGTTGAAAGATGCCTATTTTGACCTCAGCACGACTTAAAAAAGGACGCTTTACCTTGACCTTTATTTCAGATCATGACAGATTTGAAAGTTATTGGCGCTGGACTGGGTCGTACTGGAACTAAATCCCTGCAGCAAGCGCTTGTTCTCTTAGGATTTGGACCTTGCCATCATATGACAGAAGTACTCCCTGACAATCAAGAGCATTTATGGCCAATGTGGAAAGAGATATTCTTGTCGTCACTCCTGTTCTCACTTTTTGACTTTCTTCGGAAGTCCCCAATACACCGATGATGTCTAATGGGACCGACAAATAAAATATTTCTCAAGGAAGTCACCTTAGGACTACGATTTCTGATTCTTACCGTGCGAGATAATCCTGAGAAGTGGGTTGAATCTGTTCGAGCGACAATTTTCCCCGTCAAATCTACTAAAGAATCTGATTCCAATTCAGCACGGCAAGAATTTTTAGATTCCTTTTACGCTTGTGTGGCAAAAGTTCATGGTGTTGACCCAGAAGAACCAGAAACTGATTTACGGAAGTTTTATTTAGATTGGAATGAAGAAGTGAAAAGGAATGTCAAGGAAGAAAATTTGTTAATTTTTAATGTTAAAGAGGGTTGGGATCCTCTATGTAAGTTTTTAGGTGTTCCACAGCTAAGCAGCCACTTCCTAATGTGAATTCCAGTGAGGTTTTCCAAAAAGGAGTTGCAAAGCGGTGTTTAGCCAAACAAAACTGAACTTTAGCTCTGATCTGGAGCACAAATAACAGTCTCATTAACCCTTTAAGCCCTAAGAGTGATCAGCATCAAATTTCTCCTTGTAATACCAATGCTATGTTAAACAGTGTGGTCATGAGAATTACGGACATGATCACACAAGATGAATTAATTTGCTTGATATGTTATCAACTTCCCCCCCACTACTCCTGTGGGAAATGAATAAGGGCAACAAATAAGAATTCAAATTTTGATCTTAGGGTTTAAAAAGTTTTATTATTCATTCAAAGTATTTCCCTGATTCTGATTGGCTAAAAGCACACGCATAATTCACCATAACCAGTTACTGAAGACCAAATTTGGAAGAATTTTGTGTTTAACAAGGAAATAACGTCAAAAATGCAGCCTTCTACAGGTTAATGCACCGTTAACCAAGAAGACCTGGGGACTAGATTGAGTTGTTTTCGTTGTAAAAACTAAAATGGCGGACACTTCACTCGTTTCAAGAGTAAGAACTACAGCTGGAACTAGGCGAAATAATGGCTACTGAAAACCTTGCAAAAACGGCAAGAAGACAACTCGGAGGGCGACATCTGCTATTTGGAGAATAATTGCGGATCTGGACAAACCTAAACGTAAACTATCTTGGAGGGTGTTATCCGCCTTGGCCTACGGCCTCGACGGATAACACTCTCCTCGATCTCCATAATTCTTCATAAGATACTCAGCCTCATTCATTAATTGTTAAATAAGAGTATTAACCTGTGAATATAGCCGTCTCTCCTGGCTTCTCGCCGCTAGGAACGATTTCAGCCTCCTCCTCAGGCGCTTAGTTTTTCGCATGGTAGAGGCGAGCGCGAAACGCGAGTGACTGATGATGAACCACAAGGGACTATGGGAAGGGTACAGATGGAACGATTAGACCGTTGTCCCCTTCCCGCCTTCTTTTGCGCGCCAATTTTCATCGAGAGAGAGACGTCTGGGTACAAGGCAGGGACGATTTCGTCACGGCGAGGAGCGACGAGAGACAACAGTACTCGTAGGCTATAAGAGTATGAATGAGTTTTATTTGATAAGGTGGTTATCTGGATTGCGGTCCAGGACCCCGGTTGCATAAAACGCCAGTAAGAATTACGGGTGTACGTATGTGCACTCGTAACTTAAGTGAGTTGCATTAAATTAATTAAGTGGTCCACTTGGGGAGTTCACTTCAGAGATGCTGAATGGTAGCTGTCGAGGCTTTTCAAATTTTTGTGACCGCTTAGCTGTGCAACGAAGTTTGGCTGAACGTCTGCTTCGAGAAGTCGTCGAACACTGGTCTTAAACGGAGTGATTAGAAACCTTCTTTTTGTTTGTGTAAAAATCTGGAAGCCGCTTAAAGTACCCGGCTCGTACTCAGTGCCATTTTGTTTACGAACGGAGATGAAAATTTTGGACAAAAGAAGGTCGAGCTCATTGGCAGGTATGTTTTCAATTGCTCTAGACTCTTTCAGTGACTCACAAAATTTCTTTCATGCGTTTAAATCGCTCTTAGTCTTGTATTGAGTGTTTTTTTTATTTCTGCTCCTGCAAAAATTTCTCAATTTCGACTTCATCTTTGCTAGTAGCTTCTTCGTCAGGACTCAAATTTGCCAACGTTTGCTCGTTTTCTTTATCTGCCCCCGTGAAGGTCCACTGATTCTTCCATTTAGTATTATTAACAGGAACAAGCCAATTTTTTCATATTCTTTGTTTGTAACTTTTTGAGGACAGCTGTATGTTACAACAACATCGGTCTAGATGCCGGTCTAGATGGGAAAATCTAGACCGCGGTCAAGATCGATTTTAGCCAATCAAATTCTTGAATTTGCTTGTTTCCAGTCCTTTTGAGACATGGCCATATAATAAAAACAAATATAGAAGGAGAGCTAATTAGTGAAATAGGCAACGAATTCCAGTTTTTAGGTCCTCGGTAAAGGATACTGAATTGCTTTATATTTCATGAGGTCTATACTGAGAGGCTAGTCGAGTTTCGTATTGATGGACTTGATTACTACTTAAGAACAAGTCACGAAAGCTACTAGGCAAAAGATTATGGTGATAAGAATACATAAAAGTAGCGACAGAAAATAAATTAATGCTAAATATGTCATGATCAAGAACTTTAAGCTGACTAAATAAATGGGCGGTATTTGCTAGATAGTGAGCTCTTGTTATGAGCCGCGCTATACGCTTTTGCAAAAGGTAAATACAGTTTAGGTTGGAACAGTAGGTGGAGGACAGGCGACATTACAGTATGTTAAGAAAGGATATACAAGGGAGTAATACAAGGTCATCAAAGTTTAAGATAATAGGTAAAAGCGGGCTTTCGCAATAATTCCCACACTTTTCGAGATTTTTTTGAGACGAAATCAATATGCGGTATCCAAGAAAGATGCTGATCAATGAGAACACCTAAAAATTTTGTCTGCGTGACTTGCTTGATCACAGTGTTTTCCAGAGTAAGAGGGACATTAACATTGACTTTATAAAAAAACTTTAAATTTGTTTTAGTCATATTTAGAGATAACTTATTCACTTTAAGCCATGATAATTTTTTTTTGCAAGTTCATTGTTAACTATAGAAACGAGGTGTTTGGCATCTTTATGGGAACAAAAGATACTTGTGTCATCAGCAAACAGTAAAGATTGAGTGAGACTAGAGACATTACGTAAATAATAAACAAAAGAGGTCCAACGATTGAGCCCTGCGGGACGCCACATAACATTTTCCGCGGATAAGATCGATGGGACCTAAACTGGACAAATTGAGTCCGATCCTCAAGATAGTTTTTGATCCACGCCAAAGCAGTATCCCGAATACCATAGTGTTGCAGTTTTTGACACAGTATTTCATGATTTATAGTATTAAACGCCTTAGAAAGACTAAGAAGATTCCTAAAGTTGTTTCATTTCCGTCGATAGCTGAAGATATATTGTTGATCAAGTCTATTAAAGCTAATGCAGTCGAATGATTATTACGGAATCCAAATTGTTTCGAGTATAAAATATTATGCAAATTTAAGAAATGAATCAGCCGGTTGTATAATATGACTTTTTCAAAGAGTTTAGAAAAGGCTGGAAAAATTGATATTGGCCTGTAGTTACTAAAAAGTGTTGGGTCATCTGCCTTAAAAACTGGAATCACTCTGGCTATATTGAGAGATTCAGGAAACACACTAGTAGACAAAGAAGTGTTTATAATGGTTACAAGAGGCTGTGCAATATTTTGGAAAGACTGATGAATTATTTTAATGGATATATTATCATGTCCAGGAGCTTTGTTAGCGTTGAACGATTTAACAATATTGTTTAATTCACCGACCATTAGTGGTTGCAATGAAATGGATTCAGAAAGAGAGCTGCTCAAGAAATCCTTCAGTGATGAATTTGTGGAAGGAATTTTGCTCGCCAAATTTGGCCCGATATTGGTGAAGTAATCACAGAAATTATTGGCAATGTCTGTAGGATTGCTAATTTCCATTCCATTTTTCATGAAGCTTCTAGGACATAGTGATTTAGCGACACGCCTGTTGATCACTTCATTGAGAATTTTCTATGTTTGCTTTAAGTTAGATCTAGCCTTATCCAATTTGTTGTCATAATAATTTTTCCTGGCGACATGAACAAGACAAGTTAGCTTATTTCTAAATGACTTATAGTTGGATTCACGTTCATGACTTGGTTTCCTTAAGAATACATTGTACAGCCTAGACTTTGTTTTAACAGATTTCAAGATTCCAGTTGTAAGCAACGGACTATGCAGAGTATTTAGGTTTTTTTCCTTGACAAAACTTTATCGGAAAACTCTTGTTATAAAATTCAGTATATTTTTGTAGGGACCCATTGTAAGCCGCGTTAGCATCAGCATAGATTATAAGACCCTGTTCAGGCTGACTTGAAAAAAATCTAGTTTCTTATACGTGGAGTTTTACTGCACTTAAAAATAGACTGTTAAAAATTTGGAAATAAAACCGAGGTTTCAAAGAAAAAAAGTATGTTGGTATCTTCAGTTTCGTTGTTTCGAGAAAAAAGGTCGCAAGAATTGTTAAAAAAGGGTTTGACGAGAAACAATGTGAATTTTGTGTGACTTTATACCCCACACCTGAAAGACGCAAGCAAAAATGCCCCTCCAACCCCTCCTAATAAACACACAGCGTCTGCTAGATACTTTCCTTCTAACAAACACACTGTGTCTGCTGGCTATTTTAACTTAACATTGGCTACGAAAAGGCTACGAAAAGCCTGTCGTCCCTTCCTTTTGCCTTGGATCCTTGGAACTTTCATTCCGCAGAACTGCAACGACAAGAGAAAATTAATGAAATTAGTGGTGCAGATCAGCTTTCCTCACAAGTATAAACAAAATAGATCTGCAGTGTGTAAATTTGCCGACAGATCTGTATGTATAATGAATGTTCTAGAGTTCAGGCTTCGCGAACGTTTTCCCATCAGCGATGTTAACATCGTCAAATCGCTGTTTGTTGAAATAAGAACTGCCCGTTGCACGAGACAACTTTACCGAGGCATGTTAATGTAAGATTTTCCAACGAAAACTGGCATTTTATCGTGCAACCGATTTGCAGATCAATTTTAACGGTGAAACGACTGAGAAATGGCAAAGGAGTTGGGGTATTTAAAAAAAAAAGCTTAAGCGGATTTGGTTCTGATTATCCTGGTATATTCAAAATAAATTGGAGAGCTACTCGATATTAGACTAGACGCACAGCGTGAGCTCAGGCTTCCGTGTAAAAATTTCAAATGAACAAACTTTACCTAAGAAATCACAGCCATACACATTTTAGTTTCTTCTACTCTTTTTAGGCTGCAGATTCTTCAAGAATTCATTGTACGTAATTGTACTCTTCAAATTTCTTCCAGAACAAAAAACCGTTCACATTTTTTTGCTCGGCCGTTCCTTTGGAAAAGCCCGAGCAAAAATGGGAA